TCTAACCTCTATCCTGCCCAATAGCCGAGGTTTTCTGGGCGGTTGACAACAATCCATTAAAAAGATAATCTAAACTACACTGCATTATAAAACATCATTTTTAAAAGGGGCCATGCAACATTTGAAACCAAATTTAGGAAATGCAAAATTTCAATAATCTAAACAAGATCAGTCTTGAAACCTGATTAAGCCACTAGCAAAGCCCGGAGAACTAATCAAACGCTGTGCAGCGGAGGGCAGTCTGGACCCGCTGCCAAAAGATGCTCAGGCTGGCGCCCGGCGGGCCTCAGCGGGCAGCCGGCTCCGTCCCTGAACAAGCCCTTCTCCACGTTGCCGCCAACGGAGCCTCCCTTGGGGGCGGCCGTGGGGGTGAAGGGCGGACCCGGATCTCCCCCGGGGGGGCCCATCTGCGGGGTCAGGGTGGAGGCGCTTCTGAGGCCCTGGAAGGCAGGACTGTGCCAGCGCCGTTCACGTTCCTATGAAATGTGATAAAAAGCGAAGCCAGCCTTCCCCCGGGGCTCCGCTTTGCCTCCTTTGCATGGAGACCTTGGAGAGAAGCTTTCCCGCCTCACACCTGGAGTGCTTGATCGGCCGCTGCCCACGCCGGGGCCGAACCCCACTTCTGTGGACAGCGGGAGGCAGCCCCAGAGCCCCCCGGCCCTTCCTTCTCTCCACAGTCCCCAGACCAGGGCCTGCCCTCTACCCGGAGCGAAGAGCTGTCCTCCTGCCGATTCTGCAGGCGGTGCTGCCGGAGCAAGGTCCCAACCCCAAGCCCGCTTGCTCGAGGGGCCAGCAGCCCTCGGCTCGACCTACGAGGATGGACAGCAAGCCCTCCCCACCAGAACCAGAGAGGTCCCTGGAGCCGGCAGAGGTGGGGGCTCGCCCGGCCCGCCCTGCCCAGCCCATGCCTTGCAGGGCTGCGCTAGGCAGTGCTGGCTCGCTGCTGCGGTGGCAGCCACACCCAGCGCCACCACGGAGGAGCAGACGGCGCGGGCAGGTCTGGCAGCTGCCGCAGTCGCCCCCACAGCCCAGGGGGCGCCAAGAGCACCCCTGCGCTGGGGCCTCGGCAGGGGGTGCACCATGCCCGGAGGCAGCCTCTCCTTGGAAGCCAGCCAGGCTCCGCCATGTTTATATTTACCTTATTCAAAATATTCCCAAGCTGCCTTTCAAAGAAGCAGCCCTCCCAAGGCAGCAGTAAAACTCCATATATTAAAACCGATACAGCAATAAAACGGCAATAATCCACAAAAAGAGGAACACCAGCAGTAAAACATCTGCCCACAACAGTATCAAACCCGGCAATGCAGTTGTGGGTACGAAATCGGAGCAAACCAGTGAGCTGGACCCAGAGGTGTCTCGCTCGAGGCTGGAGGGCGACCTCCATGCTGACCCCAACTCAGTCAAGGAACCCGCTACCCAGGGGCGTGTTTTGCCCCCTCACGGAGCCGGACGCCCTGCCCTCGTTCCGCGCCACTCTCCGCCTGGCCAAGGCCACCGCTGCTTCTGGCGCTCACAGCCCGAAATGCCCCGCGACGCCTCGCCTGGACCCTGGCGGCGGACGGGCCCGCCGCGCTGCTCTCGGCCACAGCCGCCTCCCCGCCTCGCGCGCCCTGGTGATCCGCCGCGTGGCAGCGCTCCACTGCCTGTCCGGGGGGCGGCGTGGCTTCTGTCACACCTGGCGGGCTGGGCCACGGCGGTCCCCCCCGCGCCAACGGCTTCTGCCCGGCCCCCCGCTGGTCCCGGGGCCCTGCTGCTCGTCCCAAGGAGCGCGCACTGGCGGCCGCCCCCACTTCTTGTGCGCAGCTGCATCCTGGGCGGGCGGCCGGCCGGCCATCCCGGACTTGCAGGGCCACCGCCACGCGCAGTGGGGTGACACGGGACGTGGCCCGGGCCTGGCCTGGCCGGCTGCAGGGGCGGCGGCAGGCCGGGAAGGCTGCTCCAAGAAACCGCGGGTGCCACGCGGTTCTGCAGCCGGCCTGATCGCCCCATGTTTGCATTCCATGACCAAAAAGAAGCCAACTCGTGCCTTCCCCGTATCCACACCCCACCAGGGGGCAAAGCCGCCTTTGGCTTCCCCACACCCGAAACAAGGGGAGCCCACTGGCTCCGACGCCTCCCAAAATCCCTTCAGACGGAGCTGCTCTGCCCCCATGCAGCCCACACACAGCTGGGCGCCCCGCTGCGCAGGCTCACCGCCTCCGTTTTGGGGAGTGGGGCGGGAGGACCAGCTGGCTGGCCCGAGGCAGAGGGTCGGGGCATGCCGGCCGAGCCTCCCTCTTTCCGCGGGCGCACGGCGGCGCCGAGCGAGCCCTGGCCATTCTCTGCCCCTGTCGGCACGCCAGGCTGCCCCTCCGCTGAAGGACGGCGGGGGGCCTGCTGCGCACACACCCCACGCTCTCGCAACAGGCCTGCCGTGCGGCCGGCACAGGCGTGAGTGCGCACACGTATGAAGGAGGAGCGGCAGCGACAGGGTATGTCGTCTTCCTATGATGCCCGCATGCCTGTTGTGCTCTAAATATAAATAAATGGTGGGGAGGGAGAGAAAGAAATTTGGCCAGAGGTGCCCATAACACTGTTGGACTTTAAAAAACTCTCTCGAGTTCCTCAGTCTCAGACAGACATCCATGAGCTAAAGACCTTGAAACCCCCTACAATGCCATTAGCAGGCCGTGATATTAAGGATTAATATTAATGCCCAAATAAATTAGGACATTCGGCCGAACGCTGCAAGAGCTGGCCCACCTCAACGCGGGGCACCACGCCACCTGCACCAGGGGTGCTCCCTTCCGGTTACCCCAAAGGATTTTTGCTATCAGAGATTTACGCATGAATGTCCTTCCCGCCCTCGGAGATCAGTGAGGCTGAAAAGCGCCTTGTTTGGACTGCCCCGCACACGGCTAGAAAGGCCAGCCCCGTCCAAGCAGAGCGCTTCCAGCCCGGCACCTCCGTCTGTTTGCCCGCCCTGCCTGCCTTGACCCCTCACGTCCCACCATTCCCCGTTGGACTTCAGGGAAGGAAATGGACCAGGAGCCCCCCCCCCCCCCTGACAAAAGCCAAGAGCGCAAATGGGCCTGGCTGAGCTGACCCAGCCCTTCCCACCGGCGCTCCGGCCGCCTGCAGAGCCCCGTGGCTCTCGTGACGACCCACGGCCTCTCCGAGGACGCGGGAAGGGCAGCCCCAGGCACCGGGAGGCGGCACCGGGCAGCGGGACTGAGGCTTGCTGGGGACGGGCAGGGAGGTGACGCACGCGAGAAAGGAGGCCGGCAACGCACTCGCTGAGCCTCCTTCTGCAGGAACTCCTGGAAGAGCTTCTCAGGCATGCCGCCCGCAAAGCTGCCTCGTGAGCAAGCTCTCCAGGGGCCCACAAGCCCTGGCGCATTCCTCCCCACGGCGGAAAGCACGTGCTCCAGAGGAGGCAGCCAAAAGGGCCACTGCGGCACAGAGCCGCCCCCCCCCCCGCCCTTCCGCCACCTTCCGTGGCACGAGGCCACGGCGGCCGCAGGCAGTTCCCCTGCCCCGTGGGACTCACAGAGGGGCTGGCCGTTCGCACAGCTGCTCCGAACGGGGAACCGGGTGCAGGCCGGGCTCGGCTGCTCCAGCGCCACCAGTGGCTTCCGACCAGGCCGAACAACCCAGGAAGGGCCTCGCACCTGCGGTTGGGAAGGGGCACATGCCGCCTGGGTCCGTTTCGGGGAGGCTTTTAAGAGGAGAGGGCTGCACGGGAGGCCCACCGGTGGCCCTTTGGAGGGAGAAACGACTCCCACCCTGTGGCAGAGGGCCCGGCCACACCCTGGCGGAGCAGCGCGAGGCTCCACCTCGTCCTGCCCGTGGAGGCCACGGGGGCCCAAGCCACAGCGGCAGCCTCTGCCCCTTTGCCTGGCTCCGTGTTCCTCCGTGGGCTTTGGCTGTTCCATGAAAAGACGAGAACAGCCTGAAGCAAGACGGCCAGACCCCCAGGGCAGGCCGCACAGAGCCCACGGAGGAGGAACGCGATGGCGCGTGTTCCAGGGCCACGCCGTCACACGCTCCAGCGCCAGAGGCATTCTGGGACGAGCCGTCGCCACGCCTGAGAGGCCGAAAGCTGCCTTGGCACACAGGAGGCGGGCGGTGCAGAGGGCAGGAGAAGGAGGGCGGCCGATCCGAGGGGCTTGGCGAGGGGTCCCCGTGGCCCACAGAGCGCCATTCAGAGGGAAGCCCACGGCGGCCTTGGAAACCAGGAGCACTGCATCTTCGTGGCAGCTGGAACAAAGCGAGCGCCTCCAACGGACAAAGATCGTTCTGATGAGAAAGGGCATCCGCCACTGCATCTTGCCTCTTTCAGGCCTTCTGTGCAACCCCATCCGTCTTCGGTGCCAAGAGATGACATAAGCTACACCCCCATCACGCGCCCCCCCCACTCCATAACAAATGACTTGCTGGAAAATGGCCTCCTTCCTGCCTCGCAGCGCTTGCCAGTCCACCGAGGCGCCCTGCTGCCCGCCACAGCCGGCGAGGCGCTCCCCTCCGTGGGCCGGCCTCCCGTGCGGTCCTGGCGGAGCGGTGCTGGGGGGCCAGCCGGGCGCGACACCCGGGCAGGAGCATCGGCCCCCTCCCCCGAGCCCCCTCGCCGCAGCCCGTCCCGCACGCGGCCGAGCGCTAGCCCTCCTCCGCCGGGGGCCACGGCCACGGCAGAGCGGGGCCGGCGAGAGCGGCCTCTGCCCCAGCCCTCCGGTGCCCGCGGGCCGCAGCCGAGCGGAGCGCAGCACACCCGAGGCCCGGGGGTCGCGGCGCCCCTCCGTCCTTCCACCCGCGCGGGGGGCCCGCCGGCTGCGCGGGGAGGGTGGGCGACGCTCGAGGACCGGGGCGGCGGGCGAGGCGGTGGCGGTGGCGGGCCCGGAGGGGGGCGCAGGTCTCCGGGCCGCGCAGCACCCCGCCCCCTCCCCGCTCCTTTCCTTAAGACCTGATGGTCTTCAGTCACACATCTTAAAAGAAACACAAAAAACAAGGACACAAAGACGTACTTGTCTCAAGTCGATGAAGGCCAACTGCAGCGTGTCCCCCTGGAACCCACGCACTGGCCCGGATCTGGCAAACTCTGTGGGAAAGGAGAGAGGATAAAAAGCGCCTTTAACGAACCATGGACAGAGAGATTGGCAGACGGATGACAGCACAGACAACGGCGGCCGGGGGGGGGGAGGAGGGCTCCTCTAAGGAGTCAGGTCTCCCGCCCTTTGCGCTTTTTGTTCACCCTTCAAAATTTGTGTCATCAAAACACCATTAATTCCACCATCCTGACAGCACGGAAACTGTACTAATTCGACCTGAAATTTATTCCCATGAGCCTCACTGGGCTCCAGAGTATTTGTTTTGTGAATGGACAAACAATTTGCAAAGAAGAAAAGCATTGGGGGACGGAGGGAAAGTGTGGGGGGGCGGGGGTGTCCATGGAAAAACTTTTCCTCTCAACACAATAAAATCTTCAGCTGTGAAACCCCTTTCAGTTCCGAAAGCTATTTATATTTGGGGGCTCTCGAGGAATTTTCTAATTTCATGCCTGTCACCGTGATCCATGCGCATTTGTCAAAATAAATATGCCAAGCCGCTCCATTAATTACTCCGGAGCAGACGAACTTACCTGGAGTGGCACCACGGCACAAACCCAGAGAGTGGGGAGAGCCACCTCTGGCGTGTGAAAGGCCGGTCTGTCTCGCGGGAAGCCCCGGGCTACCTGTGAGCAGCGACGAAGACCAAGCAAGGGGCCCTCCCCGAGGGGAACCCCCCCAGCATCCAACGCGCCGGGCTGAAACGAGTACCATGGCCCCGCGGCAGAGAAGAGGCAGCCTCGGGTGACGTGAATTCCATGTGGCCTTGGCGACCACCGCCAGGCTTGGGGCTGCCCAGCGCCTCCACGGCTTGCCGCCTCGGGCAGCTCAGCGGCTGAAGGGAAGCCTGACCACTGACCAGGCGAAGGGATGAGCACGGCCCAGAGACCCCAACTGACCTCTCACCACCGGGCACGGCGCTCCCTGGGGGAACTGCCCAGGACACCAAGCCACGACCCTCAGCCAGCTCCCCGATGGCCGAGGCTCGAGGAGGGAACCCTCGGGAGCTCCTCCAAGGAGGCACCTTTCCGCGGGCGCCCCAGTGACACTGCCGCTGCCGGCGTGTTGGGCCAGGCTTGGCGGGCGGCCTCACGCAGAGAACTCCCGTGGCTGCGGAGGCAGAAGAGGAGCGGCTCATGGCAGAGCAGAACCCTGTCGCCCCTCCGGCTCTCGGGGGGCTTTCGACAACCGGGATCAACAAAATGCCTGCCGGGGGGGGGGGGAGAGCCTCTTAGATCATTCGGGCCGGAGGAGCTGCTGGAGGCAAGGAATGAAACACCCTGTCTCATTAAGGTTTCTGGTCAAAATGTGAAGGAGGACCGGGGAGGTGCAGGTGGAGACCGGGGGCAGATTCGGTCTCCGCTTTTCCGGAAGAAGTGCGGCGATGCACAGCACTGGCCTGGGGCTGCAGACGGTGGTTTTGCTTTGGCAGTGAAAGTGAACTGAAGGCACTCTGGCCTGGCCTGGCCTCTCCCCGGCTCTCCACCGCTCACCGTGAATGCGTGCGCACTCTCACGGAAACCGGCCAGCGCTCACGGTGTGCCAGACAGCTTGCCACAGCACTGCAAGCCACGATGACGGACCAGGAGCCACTCGAGGCCCTCCACAGTCTTTATATACGCAGAGTGCGACGCTGTGAAGCAGTCCGGCACAATGCGCCCGCCCGCTTCAGTCCGAGGAGGGTGAGCAGCAGTCCCGCTTACGGAGGGAGGCAACGGCGGACCACCACCCCTGCCTTACACGGCCGATCGAGCGGCAACAAAGAGCCCCGCGATGTCCATCACACAGAGAGCAGGCCTTGGCTGGCCAACGAACGCATCCTCCTTAATTGCTCTCTTCTGGAGGTTCCACTTGGCTGCCAGCACAGCGACGTCAGCCGAGGCGGGCCCGTCGGCACGTTCCTCCTCGCGCGGAGGCCGCCCTGCAGCCCATGCCGGGCTCCGCCGAAGACGGGCAAGGCGCGCCGGCTCCCGCTTCACCGCCGCAGGAGCGGTCCCATTCTGGAGCACATTCCGCCTGACCGAGAGCAGCCTTCGGGGCACGCTCCCGCAACCCTCTACTCGGCTCAGCATTTGCTTTTGCAGGGCGGGGGCTCCACGGGGTGCTGCTTCAGTGCAGTGCAGACAACAGCTGCCTTCCTCATGTTGCAGCGATGAAGAATCTTGCACTGACCTTCAGCATATACTTCATTTGTGTGTTTGCAAGCGTGCATTTCTCTAAATGTGTTCTGATTTGCAGGGTGCTCCCGGCGGCAGAATCCTGGGCTGGGGCCTGCTGCTACATTCAAATGAATCACCTGCACATCCTGAAAAAGACGAGGCCACATGCGTACAATGGGCCAACTCAACATGCTCCGTGGCCTCTTCCTCAGCCGGTCAGTCTGGCTTCCCTCAGGACGAGCACGAAGCACCGGACGCTAGGCCAGCCCTCGTGCGGTGGACGTGCCACATGTCACCCACGCAGGACCATGTGCCAAAGGACTGGGACCGTGGCTTCATGCCCCCCTGCTCCGCTCTGGCCACCCACATTGCGTGGCTCCTCCTGTCGGGAGGACGGCCGGGCCTCGGTTCCTGCTACTTCTCTCGGGCCACTCTCCCCCACAGAATGTGCTGTCCGTGTGCAGCCGAAGTGGACTCTCCACACGCACTCAGCCCACAGGCTGCTGAGGTTCGCATTGTCCGCAGGGACAGCTGCCTGCACTTGTTGAAGGAAGCCAAAGGTCCCGTCCGCCCTGCAACCGGGTTCCTCTTCCAGGGAGACGCCACCCCGGGCTGACCCGGGCTCCTCCTGCCCCCGGGCTCCTTTCCTTCCTGCCGCTGGATCGATGCTCCGGCTGCCGTGCTCGCCCGCGCGTCCTCCCGTTGGAGAGCTGACGGCTGCTCAACTGGGCTCGGGCCTGGGCTCTCCATGGCCACTGGTCCCCTGCCCCTCCATGCAGACTCTTCTTTGCCCAGGCCTCGGTCCCCATCCCACTCTCGGGACCCACCGGGGGCAGCAGCCAGAGGCGTCCTCTCACGAGAGCCTGCCAGCCTCGCGACACCACCACCTGATGGGGCAACCGTCCAGGAATGTGTCGGGCATCCCTGGCAACAGCCAGAGGTCATATTCTGAACACACATCGCCCGTTGGCTGGCAGCGGATGAGTGGCGAGCGCTGCTGCTGAATTCAGGCCACCACCCGCGAAGGCGGGCACAGCCAGTTCCTCCGTGCAGCCTCCTCTGTCGGGTGTCACTGCGATTAGCACGGCGCAGCCCCGCGGCCCCGGCAGCATCGCCCAGGAAACGGCCGCCCCTCGCCAGGCCTGCCCCGTAAGCGCGCCACCTGCGGCACGGCAGGGCCCCGTCGGCAGAACACCGCAGAGAACAGGCTGGCCCCGGGACAAAGCGCCGCAGCGAGCTCAAGGGCTGGGGGCTTGCGCCCGGGCCAAAGGAGGGGCGTCTCTGCGAGGCCGACAGGCAGGGGCCACCCAGCCGGGGCGGGTCACAGCGGGACTCTAACCTCTTTCCCAACGCTTTCTCCCAAGGGCAGGGCTGCGGAACAGGAACCGCTAAGCCGTTCACAAAAGGCAAGGAATGAAAGGCGCTCGGTGGGGCAGGGGGGCGGGAGGAGAGGGACCCCCGAGGGCTGGCTGCGGGCGACGCACAAGGGCTTGCTCTTGCCTGCCGAGCGGCGGCGAGGCCCGTGCCGAGAGAGACCCCGGGGGTACACGCCGAAACGTGTGTGCCGGGGGACCCTCCGCACAGCCCCGCCCGCGGGCCAGGAGGGAGCCTGTCCTTTGAGATACTGCCACCCCCTGGCCGAGAGCATCTCCTGCTTCCCACCCTCCCGAGCCAGCAGGGAGAGAACGGGAAGGCTAGGCTCGCAGTGTCGCAAGGCACCCTGCACCCCCCGCCCCCCGCAGCCGCCCCGTTCTCTGCGACGCGAGGTCGACCGGGTGGCCCCCCAGCTGTCCCAGCCGGCAGTGCCTTGCAGGGGTCCCGCGGATCATGCCAGCGAGCAAGAGCGTCCGGTCCCGGCCAAGGCAGCAGGGCCGCAATGGCAGCGCTGGCCTGACTGGGCGGGCGGGCGGACAGCTCGCCAGCCCCCCATGGTGCACGGGCACAGCCCGTCCGGCCAGGGCCGCTCCCGGGTGGCCATGCTTCTCCAGGGCGTGTGCCAGGACCGGAACGGACCGGACCGGAGGACGCAGCGGACAGGTGCCTGCCGCCTCACCCAGGGCCGTCCCTGGCACAGGCACACGTGTGCGGACAGGAGCCGAAGCGGGCTCCGGGGATGCCGAGAATTCAGCCTCACTGCTCCCATGGACGGGCAGGAGGGCTCGCGTACGCCTCCGCATGCCCCCTGCCCTCCTGCAGGCGTCCCCCAGCAGCACTCCCCGGGGACAGGCACGAGCCTGGGCCTCGCTTGGCCCGAGCTGACGCGGAAACTCCCGCGCCACCTGCAGCCGGAGCCACGGCGGGGCCAGTGGCCACCGCCCACCCACGCCCAGTGCCCCCCCCCCCCCCACACGCACGGCTTGGGCCTGGGGCAGCGCGGGCCAGCGAGCGCCATCCGGCTGGTGAACGCAGCCTGTGCCGTACGTACGTTTGCCGGCTACCGCCCGTGAGCTGCCCAGCCAACAGATCCTGCTTCTCCGCCTTTCGGCCTCTAACTTTGAAAGACATTTTTAGCACGCGTTTGACAGAAATATCAATCAAGCTAATGGGGCCATAGATTGTCGGATCCTGCGGATCGCCCTCCCGGAATACTGCGATGATAATGCTGCGTTTCCAGACTCTTGATGGATGGCCAGCGGGGCTCCCCAACGCCGGGCTCATCAATCCACGTTAGGCGGCCACATCCTCTCCTGGGGCCGCCCGGGTCTTCCAGGGCCCCTCTCATGAGGTGATGCCGCAGGCCATGAAGGTAGAGTCAGCACCTGGCTGAGGAAGGGCTGTGCAGGCTGGCTCTCCACGGGCCGGGCCCGCTCCCCCACAGCTGCTTGGCCGTGGCA